GCTGTACAAGCAACCCAGAAGTTTAGGAAGGTTGACTTCCAGTCTGCCAGTAGTGCCGTTCCCGTACTTCCAGTTTGTGAGTTGGATGGTTTTTTGCCCTCCAGAGGCTTCAGGGAGGGTGAAAAACGGCTGAAAAAGAAGGCCAAAATCAGCTGGCCAGCGCGTGCATGCGTGCTGGAGCCAACAGGGAAACGCCTGGTGTGCGCAAACAAATGGCTCCACGTGCCATCATGGCCCTAAGATATTACACGTTAACTACAACTTATATAACTATCACCTGCAATTGTGTAACTTTTTAAAATAATTATGGTAGGAATATGAAAAAAAGCAAATTATAACATCTCACACATCAAATTGACGACTATAATTATGATACACAAAAATAATGTTTGTTATATCACAACGTTAAGATATTTTTTGCTCCATTTCAGCCTACATGGTTTTTGCAGTAATCCTTCATATAGTTGTTTATGATCAAAATTGAGCTGGAATCTCGATTACCGAGGAATGTGGTTGTTAAATGCGATGTCACATGACTGCCCATGTAGACTTTTGGCTCAACAACTGCAATCCTAGCACTGGTCATTAAGCAATTCTGTGGGTTAAGTGATCACAGGGGTTTTTAAGTGGACAGAAACCCACGTAGGGAGCACAAATGCCTGGGGCCTAGGTAGGAGAGCCCTGGAATGCTTTGCAGCTTCTGAACGCTTTTCACAAGCTGAAAATCATCCCGGCTGAAATCTAAGCAGGATTTTCAGTCTCTGAGAGACAGACACTTCTGTGTGGCCCGCCCCAGGCCTCCCCCACCCACTTGAGGAACCTCACACTGTTTACCTTATTGTGCTGGCTCTATGCTTGGGTTTGGCTCCCTCTTGTCTCCAGGGGCTGGCTGAAAAAGCAACCTGCCAAATGATGTCATCTTTCTGAATGTAGAAGAGAATGCCTTCCACAGGGTAGTGGGAAGCTGTCATCTCTTCTCTGCATGCAGAAGAGAACTCCTTCTGCAGGTGCACGAACAAAGCTCAAATCATCAGGATCCGAGTTCAGTTTCTGAGGATGTCATTTCTCAGTGCAGAAGAGAATGCATTCCGCGGAGTGCAGAAGTCTCATATCATCTCCAGAACAGTGAAGTAGTTCAGCTCCCCTTAGCAGGCAGCTCTTTCAGTCATCCCCCAGAGATGAGATGGAATCCTCTTGGCAAGCAGCTGCAGCAGCAGTTTGCAACCTTCTCTGCTAGCTTCTGTATTGACTTTCTGGGGAAGCATGTAGAGAGGATTGCAAATAGCAATCACATGTGTGTGAGGTGTTTACTTAACAATTGATTGCAAATGCAAACAGCTTGCTAAGTACCCAGATCATGATCATGTAACTGTTTGTGTGTGTGTGTGTGTAGGGGGGGAGGGGCAGGGCAGCATGATGTTTTCTAACAGCCAGAAGTTGATATTATATACGCAGAATGTAAGTAAAAGCAACAGAACCACCTACTGAACTACAACTGAAAACATTTATTTGCCAACTTTTTTTTAACTGCCATATTTAAGGATGGCCAAGTAGGGAGCCAAAACAATAATTGCTACTACCAAAAGAAACTGGCAGTACAATTTTCATTTGTTATTCATCCTGAAATTCAGAGTTAAAAATACAAACTCATACAAGCCCCTTTTTGGGTGCGTATTAATCCATATTTTTCAGTAAGTTTGTACTGACTGCAACTTTAACAACTATTACAATGATTGTTGCATTCCTTTTATTTCCTCTCCACTTTTTAATTATTTTAACCTTTTTCTCTTGTTCTGTGTTATTAAACAAATAAAATACTTCTTAAAAAGTTGCAATGGCTAGGACAGGGAAAAGAAATAAATTATTTCCAAAGGGAACCTATTCAAAAGAATTTCATTTAGAGGATGCTGAGCTCAATCTAGTATGTCAATACATAAGATTTGTTACTGTTGTTTCTTACCTTAAATATGATTCTTCTAATCCATGGTTTTTCAGATAAGAAATCCACCATAGAAAATCCAGGATTTGCTCGAATAGCTGACATAGCTACCCAATAACCTCCAGAGCTACTTAAACGGATGTTGTCTGGAAAACCAGGCATGTTTTCGACAAACAGGTCCTCTCCACCTTTCATTAGACCAGATACATAATACCTAAAAACACATAACATTTTACAAATTTGCTATGTGAAACAAAGAAAGTATTAATATTTTATGCTAGATTTCTAATCTACTACCCTAATGATCAGAAGAGTTGGAACATGTACAAAGAATACAGAATACATTAAAACAACAGCATTACAGAGCAAATACAAAGGACAGGATAAAGTTTATAGCTTACTAAAAAATAAAGATCACAAAACCTACATAGCATCGTAGTATCGTTCTTTAGAAATTACAGAACACAGTGACTTAGTAAAAATCCTCCTTGCTTAGCAGGATAATACATAAATAGGAAAAGTCTATCATATAAAGTAAACTAGAATTTAATCAATTCTTAACAAAATAGCTGGATCTATTCCGCACCCTTACAAGTATCTCATCTACCTTCGTATTCTTGCCATAGTTGTTTCAGCCACCAACACAAAGTCTTCAGCAGGAGACAGCTGAACTCCATTTGGAAATCGGAGTCCTTCCATTAAAACTTTGACTTCCTTTGTGACTGTGTCATATTCAAGTAAACTAAAGACAGAACAATTATAGGGCATTACTAATTGTATTACTAATCCCCTCTCAATCTCAATATCTTTGACAACCGTATGTCAAAATATATATGAATTACCCATATGTATAAGAACAGCTATAGCTGAGTCTATTTAAAAAAAAACCAGCCCAGATGGAACAACTGGCCTCTCAGGCTAGGAAATTTCAGAGCTTAGTTATACTACTAAGAAGGCCTTTTAACTTGCCTGAATCAAATATGCCTCACCAATCATTAGTTTTTAAGGCCCACACAGGTTAATATGGAATACAGTGGTCTTGGAGGTAACTTAAAAATTACATTTATCTCCAATGTTTGAATTGTACCAAGAAACAAAGTGGTATTTAGGTTTATAACAGAGTCAGTAGCACCAAAATACCACTAACCCCCTCCACATATCCATCATATTATTCTCTTTGGGCAAGGGACTCCAACCCCAGGTCCATTAACTGGCACCGGTTTGTGGCATGCCAGAAACCAAGCCACACAAACAAGCGAAGCCCCATCCATTGGATGCAGACAGCACACAAAATCACACCCCCTCCAATCCATAGAAACATCTCTCTCCACGGAACTGGTCCCTGGGGCCCAAAAAGTTGGGGGCCGCTATCCTTGGGGATAAGTAACTATGTATAGAATAGAAAAGAATACAGATTTCCTATGCTAAGGAAGAAAGGATAAGGAAAGATATCTGAATTAAGAATGTCAACAGATGAAGTGTAAATGTTACTTCACTATTTTAAGTAAATATTTAAACAATAACCATCAAATAAGAATATTGGTTTCTAGAAATACCATCCCCCACCCTCCCCAGAAAATTTTTTCTCCACGTGATGCTTGATCATCATTTTGTTATATAATTTACAACTCAGGCTAGCACATTTACCGTCCATCATCTGAAGCCTCCATGATTAATAAGGAATAATCTTTTCTCTGCCATTTACTACTAGAATCTGTAAAATAGATTTTCCTTCCATCCCGAGTCATTGTAAGATCGTTCAAAAAGGACATGTTCTTCCCTTCAATAGGAATCTTTGAATTCACAATTGGCCTGACTGCACCTGGTCACAGAAAAACATTTTTTTAAAAACACCTCTTTGCTCTTTTGTACTTATGTGTATATTTTGTAATCATGAGTGTATCACTTCTATTTATGACATTTCTGTCTGAATTTATTTAATATTAAAGATTCAAAAAAAATTAGATTCTTAAGCAGAATTCAAAATAGGTGTCACTTGCATATCGTGGCTTAAAGCTTACCATTCAAAGTATAATTAAAACCAGTTAGGGTTTGGCACAATGGGTATGTAGGGAGGAGAGGTAGACTTGCCTGAGATAGGATTTATTTCAAACAGTCCATAATAGGCATCTATAACAAAAAGAGTACTGTTTGGTCCAACACGGATTCCTAGTGGTCTCCCACATGTAGGCTCATCTTCTCTTGTACCTTTTTAGAAAATACAAATAGATATAAAGTATGCAGCTTCTAAACAAAAGTTTCTATTGTACTTCTAAAACAGAATATCAATAATCTTGAATCTGAATAATAAAAAATAGACATTTTGTATATTCAAAAACATCTGTATAGCTTTATATACTTTTTTTTCATATAATTAAATATTGACAAAACCCATATTATTTTGATGTAGTTAAAACAGGCCATCTTGCAAGACTTGAAGGGATGGACAGTACATGACTTTCCAAATACCTTCCAAAACCAACTCTTATTACCTCTTTTTCTTGATCAAGTTGATTAAGTCTGAAGGAAACTGAATTCAGTAACACCTAGAGAATTATTCACTGCCCATCTCTGAAAAAATAAATATTCTTTTTTTCTTCTGCTCAATTGTGTCCAATTCTCAAGAGACTGCCTGATCAAGTCCCTGAAGTTTTCTTGGCAAGGATTTTCAGAAGCTGAGTGCAACTGGCCCAAGATTACTCTAACTTGACTTGGTGCCAAAGCACGACTAGACTTCACAGTCTCCTGGTTTTTATCCTGATGCTTTAACCACTACACCAACTGGCTCTTGTAAATAAATATAAATAAATTTCCTCTAAACATAAGGCTAGATAGGCTTTTATAGTCAATACATCTGATTTCATTTTGTCCTAAATTCTGATGTGCATTTATAACCTGGTCGTTTTTAAGTAGTTTTTCACTTGCTAAAGAAAGCTAAGCACATAATGATGAATATTGTATCACAGTACCTAAGGAATGTTAACCAGAAATATTATCAAGATTTTATTGCAGAGGACCATTCCTATCGTGTTATCTTTCACATTAAAAAGAGGTTGTTAATCAAATGTCCATAGGTTTTTCACAACCACTGTCATTGGTTGAGCCAGGACCCAACCNTGGGCCCGTTTTTGCAAAAAATGGGCCATTTTGGGGAGATTTGCAGAGTGCAAAAACTTTTTTTTAATTTGCCTCTTCAAAACCTTGGTGCATCTTATACTCCGAAAAATTCCACCATTTCAGGGGAATAAACAATTAAAGCTCTCTCAAGGCTGATGAACTAAAACTCAATAATTATATTAGTTGGGGCTATTAGGTATTATAGTCTTTCCCCACTTTTGTACCATGGTAGATTTCAGGAGCTTTTTGCTTGCTCATCATTATTATAAACTGATTTACAAAAGATGGGACTTAAAAGTAGACCAATGGGTAGTAGCAAGTGGCTGATTTTAAAATACTGTAGTTAAGCAAGAACGACTTGATTAGTATCAGATGAAGACAGATTATTATTTTGTCAGGCACTGGCATTTTCCCTAGTGAGCTCAAAATTTGTATCTCTTGCTTCCAAATTCCATGTTTGTTGAGTTATTGGACGTTGCATTTGTTATAATGCCCACTTTTTCCCCACTTGGTTGCTAGGCAAAACACCGTCCTCTGAAGAATTCTGGAATTCTCACTCCACAAAAACTCCATAGGTTTCTACTAGCTTTCTACCAAGGGAATGAAATGGATGTTTTGAAACAATCCTTCCTTCCTCTCCCTTGAGTGTTAAACTCAAATGCAAGACTTGTGAACCATCTGCAACCTAGAAGAACCTCTTTGCCTCTGGATTTTTTTTTAAAGTTTTTGTTTTTGATGTGTGTGTGAAGGTTGTTCATGTAAGTAAAGCCAATTATATGTAGATCTTTTCTGCAGATGATACTTCCTCTTTGAAAAGCAGCACCAGAAAAACATGCATTCTGCCTACGGAGTTTAATTCGACATGCAGTTTATTTTTGTTATTTTTGGATTTTGAGTTCCACCTGGGCTGTTTGGAGGATGAGAGGGATTTGTGAGATGGAACTGGTCACATGAAACAACACAATATATGCATGATTTTTTTATACTGGTTTTTAAACTCTTTATGTCAACATTTTTGAAAAAAACCCTGTTCATACATAATGAAAGCACTTAACTTTATAATGCCAAATCTATTTAATAAAATATGCTTTGGGTAGCCAAGATTAGTTTCTTATGCATCTGAAAAAGAAATTTCAGTCATAATTAACAGGCTTTTGATTAAATCTCATATTTAATATTACATTAATAAAGTTTTGACCTACTGATTAGAGGCAGAGAGGCTTCTTTGGAAATTAGTACCATCATATACCAGTGAAATAGTATGAGAATTTAATGCAAGATGGAGAAATGATAGTATTCTACACGTTTACTGGAGTGCAATTTTAAATAACATTCACCACGTCTGCTAGATTAAGAATTATATTCAGCAGCACTAGAGGCAACCCCCCATTTAAAAGCTAAGGATATTAAATGGATTTGTGCAATAGAACAGGTAAAAAAAATGTCACCACATTCATCTGACCAAAGCCCCATCAATTTTTAATATGCATAGTGACAAACATTTAAAAAACAGTAGAGCTTTGATTGCATGTTTATGGCTGCCATCCTGACTTTTTTTTAACACCCCACCCCCAATATTAAAACATTCTTCTGCCTGAAAGACTTATGTCAATGATTAGAGGAACAATAAGACAGTTAAACCAGCTTTTCTTAAATTAGTTACATTAGCTTTAGATTTAGAGACTCCCATACAAGTAATTCCATGTGTTTCCATGCAGAAAATAGCATTGACTAGAAATGGAATTATAGCTGTAGTACTTTCAATTTATTGATATAACTATAAATTGCACTGCTATTATATAGTGCATGCATTAAAACATGCTTATAAAGAGAAACCAAGTTGGAAATAAGTTCACTGTATTAGATCATTTAAGATTAGGAACTTCAGAGCAATGATGTATTTACAGGACCAAATTTTGAATTTTGAAAAGCTGATCACTTACATGTAATGGATTTGAATAGCATTTCTAAAATATTAAATGCAACAAATATTGTTTCATGAGGTAATTTGTATTTTATTTACCTTCTGGAAAGGTAATAAAGGTGCTATAGAGAGGGTACAGTGCACCAAAAACGTCTACACAGCCCACCATTTTGAAAGATAATTTAAACAAGGTAATTCACAGGTTTTAAGGTATGGCATGCCTAAGTAAGGACTAATTCTGCACCCTGCTAGTTAAACAGTGTTACAATGTTCATGACTGACTGTGCTTCCATTCTTCTTTTTTGTCCAAAATGTGTCTCATCCTTCTTTGTCGTTCTGGATTAATTCAAGGCGACAGCAGTAATGCTTTCAACTCAGAATTAGATATCCTTAAGGTCCAACTTACAAATAAAAGGGGATCGGAAAGACCCCACATAGAGATGTCCATTATATTCATGTGCTTCGCTTACATATGTTGCCACCATTCCATTTGGATCATGGAAACTTCTTCTGTAAGATCCAGTATTACTTAATTCTACCACAAGGCTGTACTTGGGCACAAATTTTATCACAGTTTCTGCACTGAGCAGCTGAAACACAAACAATCATTAAAGACAGTTTTCTTTTAATTAACATTACAACATTTGAGATGATTGAATCATTTACTATCAACTGTTACATTATAACATGTTTTAAATACCTGAATATGCATAATGCAAGACAAAGTTAAGCACTCTGGAATNTCACCAGCAAAGTATTTAAATTATGTTATCTGCAATTCCAAAACCAGGGAACATCCATCAAGACAAGTAGCCATTAACAGTTAAATCTCCCTGTTTTTTAAACCATCTTTCTTAGCACTATCAAATAGATTTCAATAAATCTCTTTACCAATTTCAGGACAAGATTACTTTGTTGGGAAGTAAATTTCTACTATGCAAAAATGCAGTTGAATTTGCAGCAGTGCATCTTTACTTTTCCAGTTCACCACAAGAATTATCTCTAAATATTCTAGGTGGGAATCTGGGAGATGAAATGTAATCAATTTGGAGAGATTGGGAAATTACATAATTTGTGGTTAGATTTCAAACATCATTAGACACACTGGAAAAGAGCTTAAGAATAAGTGGGAGAAATAGACATTGTATGGATGAAATCAGTTTAAGTCTCACTGTTCTAAACTAAACGTTCCTTCAATAATTTAAAGAAAGATTTTCTTTAAAAGGTATCAGGAATGATTAGTAAAAGGAAAAAAAGAAGTAAACAAAATATCCAAATCCTACTTGATATGTTACCTTCTGTGCCTCTAGATGAGGGGCATCAAACTGGCAGCCCATGGGCTGGATGCATCACGCACAGGGCCCACCCCAGCTCCACGAAAGGAAAAAAATATTGCAAAACATCATATGACAGCAACATGACACGAGTTTGACACCCATGCTCTAGATACTGTATGGTCACAAAGCTTCCCTCCTTAACAGTAGTAGGCAGTTTTTCTCAAGCAAAAGGCATGGAGGTACTAAAAGGATACTCTGGATGCTAGTTTGGTATGAGGTATAGTTTTGTATTTGTAGCTCACAGACAAAAATGTAGGTCTACTCTGCTTAAAGTATAGTAAAATTGCAAGGATTTGAAGTACAATTAAACAGTTTTGTTGAAATACGTATAGAATACAAGGTGGACAACCTGAGGTCTCAGAACCACACCAGTCTCTCAAATTCTTTTTTTACAGCTGTTGAAACCACTTTATCAAGACTGCTGAAAACTGAGAGCTGCCATTTTTAGGTATAAATGTGTGAAAATTTCTTGCAATCCTCAGAAGCATCCCTGCCCAACATAAAAATGATTTACAAACCCTCTGCTACCATTTTTCCAAATCAATGGGATGAATTTATTTCACAAACAACTCCAGTTATAGAAAGTTCACGGTTTTTAGATTGAGGCATATAAATGGAACAGGCACCAAATTTGTAATATTCTGTTAATATAAAAGATGAATACAAGCTCTATATTAATAACAGCTTTAGGATTAGCTAAACACTACATAAAAATTATTTCAGCCCTTCTCTTAAGAAGCATGTCTATATAGGGTTCTTGGTTCTGGGTAGACTATGGAAGATAGCTTTGAGCAAACGACTGGGCTTTAAATAAAAGCTCAGAAAAGCAAACGACTTGAGCTTTGAACGAAACTCTTTTAGCTTTTCTCAATGTTGTGGCTTGATTAAAATAGATATAATATATTGAATCCATTATATATGGCATTTAAATTATTGCTTCCACAATATGGAATCCACAAACAGGATGGAGATTGTCTTCATCAAAACAATCCAAATATAAAATTTCATTCACAAAAAATATGGCTGAAATTCTATGCACCCTGAGTTGTAAATCACTGTCTTATTTCCACATAAATAATGCAAGATTGGCATATAATGTTATAATGTGGTGCCTGCATTAGTACCCAAAAATAAAAGAGAAAGAGGGAGTGAGTTTTTGATGTAACACTCATAATGATTATGCTTTTTGAGGATTATGGGAAACTCATACAGGTAGTCCTCCATTTACAACCACAATTGAGCCCAAAATTTATGTTGCTAAGCAAGGCAGTTATTAAATGAGACATGTCCCATTTTATTAGTTTTGCCATAATTGTTAAGCAAATCACTACAGTTTTTAAGTANGATGCTGCCCATGCTGAGTTGGACAACTACACAACCAAAAGTACCACTCTAAAATGCACCAACTACATAGGATGAAATAAATTTTCACATATTTAAAAATATTCAGTGGAAAGTATGCAACAAATCTGAAAATGGTTTACTAAACAAGTCAAATCACAATATAAAAGGAATAACAAATAAGTAGTGTTTGTTTACCACAAGGACCATGGCCAAGACGTGCTAAAGTGGAAATTTTCCCATTTTCAATCCTCAGAATTTTTCCATCAGCAGTACCAGTAAACAACACATCTATGAGAGACAAGCAGTGACATGCATGTTATGCATGTTATTTAACACACAAGGCTTATATAAGATTTCAAAACACCCCAAATGCTTTCTATAGAGTGAGGTCACAAAACCTTCAAAAAGCAAAACTAAAGTTTGCCTTCCATATTGGCATGTTTTTACAAAAATAGAATAATATAAGATTATCACTGAAAAGCATTTGCTTCCATTAGCAATAAGCTTTATTATTTATAGACCACCCTGTTTATAGACCTGGGTGGTGGTGGTGGTGGAGAAGCAACAATTCAAAGTATATTATAATTAAAACAGTAATATAAGTAACAAATAATATATGATGGTCGCCTGAACACCAAAGGTCAAAAACTCGCTGGGAGGCTGCTACTAAGAAGGCCTATCACCTGGTCCATATCCCATATACCTTCCCAGAAGAGTGGATCTTCAACAGAACCTCCCTAAATGTTTACAATGAATGGAAAATATAACTTGGTACTGCACTATTAAGGGATTTAGGACCTTAAGCATTATGAATTGTGCTGGAAACCTATCACAATTATTTCAAATCAATGGAAGTCTACACTGAAGGAATTTATTGATGTAGTTCTTCTATTTAATTATTACAGTCATGGCTATTTACAATAAAAATTAACTTTAAAAATCCACATTATATAAAATCCACATCATTTTATACCAGCTGCAACTTCTGAGTTGTTACTAAAGACTATGTCATGTAGGCGATAATGAAAGAATGAGTTCACATATCATATAAAGTTCTAATATATGGAACAGCAAGTTTCATATATGGAATAGAAAGCCTCAAATGGTTGTTTGGACCAAATTGTGAGTATCTTTAATTTTATCAGATGATTATACCTTGTCATTATGATGGCTATTACCTATCTTAGATTTCTAAAAATAGCTTTCTTAGCACTACTGAAATTACAAAGAGGACTATTCAGAAATTGCTAGGTTCCCATAAAACACATTAAAAGTGTTGTTATAAAAGACAATATAATACAATTACTTTCTCTTAATTTTATTTTCTCTTATTCAGCCTTATCTAACTTCTTTTAATCTTTTTTCAAATAACCAAGTCATCAATGATGACATGGATGAGCCTAGAGGGTGGCATGATGAAAGTTTCAAACTTCCTCTTCTGAGAATTCTGAATCTGAATTGATTCTGAAATCAAATCCTTCTTTTACAAACCTGTTCTTAGAAATAAACAGATTTCTGAAGCAAAAGTTTTGTGCTTGCTTTCCTGGACTTTTCCAGGAAAATAGATGAAATGAGCATATTCATATTTTATGAGAATCTTACATTTTGTACACTAACAAAAACCAAAAACAATGTTTTGAGAATTCAGAATACAATTTGAGATATTCTTTTTAATGTTGATAATAAATCTAGAATCTATGTCCTTTTCTATAAATATCATATTATAATGCTTGATTAATTTAAATCTAAAAGCCAAAGGATTACTAGGTAATTTACCCACCCCCTTTCAGTACCTTTTTCTGGCATAATATAATCAAAATTCAATTTTAGGGACGTTAAGCTTATTGGGTTATTAGGTTTTTAATTAGCAAACTGATACTCAGAAACTGATAGGATCCATAAAGAATTAACGATTACTTTAATTCCCCAAAATATACACTTAACAGCTGCTTCTTTAAAAAAGAAAAAGACTATGGAATAAGGCAAGCTTCAGTAATTATATATACAATATATAAATTAGAACAATTCTGCACAGCAATCTAAACTACTTGGTTGTTCCCAAGGCTGATTTAAAAGATCTGCATCTTGATTGCAATTGTTTAGCAGGTTACTGCTCAATTTGGACTATGGTCACCGGGGACCTTTGTTCTACTTCTTGCCCCTCATTCATGCACAGAGGGGACATGTCTATAATTGCCTGCTTTTAAAAAACAAAAACAGTTTCCTCTTCACTAGTCCTTCTCCTTTTTCATGCTTTCCCAAGTTAGCAGGCACTGATGTCTTCACACTTCCTTCCCATATTCTCCCCTTTGACAATAATGCAAATTCTTCCTCCTACCTTTACTGCATAGTCATTACATTGATGCCACAATGATCAAAGCAGAGAGAATAAGTCCCCCCCACCTTTCTGTGTTCTACTGTGGCTCTACAAAAACGTTGTGGCAATGAGAAACTAATGGCTCAGCTTCACAGAAACAAAGGAAAATAGCTTCAAATTAACATTTTAGTACAATATGCACAGAATGAAAAACAAAGTACAGTACCCAGCCTGGGGAAAAACGACCAAAAGGGCACACACACACCCAAGTTGGAAGATAAAAGAATGTGATGCAAGTGTGCTATCAAAACAGGTAAAGAAAACAAGGTGACCAAAACACTTTACTGGATTTCATGAGCTTTTAGGGTCACTGATAAATCAAATGGAAAGAAAAAAAGTGCTGCTGACCAGATGAGAACCAGTGACCAACCACTGGAAAGGAAGGGGTATATCTGATACTGTGGTCAACTGGATCTCAAGATTTCCCTAGACTGGAATGAAACAAGGTAGACTAATTGTTCACAAGCACTTAAGATAACTTAAGATAGAAAATATTATTTTTGAATCAAATTTCAAAACAAGAGCAAGGAGTGCTTTTGCAATGATTTGAGAATGAATGGAGGATGGTATTGGCCTATCCTGTACTCCAGAAACAGTGGGTAGCCTGTACAGGCAATGATATAAACAGAAACTGAGAATCTAGTCTCAAGTAAACTTGAATTTAGTCCCTGTTAGAATAAATATGATAACATTTTTTCTATTTGTTCATTACAATTTACAAGCAATACGTTCAGGAATTCTTTAGAAGATGTATTTATATTACTCCCTTGTAAAGTTATATAACCTACAGTGCACAAATAAGAAAAGAGGAGATATTTATGATAGAAAATTTAAAATATGTTGAATAATCATTGGATTAAATCTGTACATATATTCCTGCAAAATATTGCATATTTGAAAGCATAATTTACCTATGAAGATATTACAAGTTGGAAAGGGATCCAAGGGTCTGTTTATTTCTCTAATTATTATATAATTACACAATTATTATATTAATAATTATATCTAATCATTACATACAAATGCTCAAAGTAAAATATGGGGGATGTCAATGTTAAATCATACATATTCAGTAATGCTAAATGTTCTGTAATCTATTTAAAGCTTTTTCCAAATACCTCTCACCCAAGCATTCTGCAAGAACGTTTTAAATTATGGATGAATATTAGTCTCTTGTGAAAGAGCAATTTCAGTTCCTCTTTTGAAAGTAAGTACATTTGTCTATGTAAGCCTCTTAACATTCCACGTCATAAGAAAAAGTAATGTGAAAAAAATAAACACTCATTTTATAATCTAATGAATTAATATTATTTTTATAACCCTTTGGAATAAAGAGCTTGAAGGTTCTGTTACAACAAATCAGTGTAAGGTACTTTAAACATGAAATTAGTCTCTTTTGATCAATAGTTTGTTGATATGAGAGAAACTTGTNATCCCCAGAAAATAATAAATGTTACAAGTGGTTGCATTTGTTTTTGTATCAAATAGTCTTTGAGAAAACATAACATTAACTGATTTAGCTAGAATAACCAACATTATGATGTTATACCGGGAACTTGAATTGAAGTGTTCCCAGAAAATAACAGGATTATTTCTGGAATATTACAAGTAGTGCTAGTTGAACATCTACTTGTTCAGCAACTATTTGAAGTTACAATGACACTGAACAAGAGGGATCGAGGACTATCACTCACAGAGCAGCTGATACAGCAGCATCCCTGTGATCATGTGATCAGAATTCAAGTGCTCAGAAACCACATCACAATTACAATTTTGCAGCATCTCACAGTCACGTGATTACAACTTGCATCCTTCACCACCAGCTTCCAACAAGCGAAGTTAATGAGAAAGCTGGCAGGAGATCACAAATTCTGATTACATGACTATAAGAAGCTGTGACCATATGCATTTCACCTAACAATCATAACTTGGATTGCCGCAAGTACCATTTTTAAGTCAGTGCAGTTATGTGACATCTCTTTCTATAACCACATCCCTTGTGACAGGGTTCCTGAACCAATTTCTGTTGGTAAGTGAAAACTACCTGTAATTAGACTTTGCAGAAGGGGTTAGAACATGGTTGCTTCAGGAAAAAGGGGGACACAATACTTCCTTCTTTCCCCTTTCCCTATGCAATTATGCATAATGAAATGGTTTATGAGTCAAATATTTAATTTTATCAATGAGTGTATGTATGTATGAAAGTTAATATTTCTCTTGGAAAATCATTCTAAGAACAGCTTTCAAAAATCTTGCTTGAGGGTTTCATGCAGCCTTTCACCTAATTACAAAACTCCTATTTAATGATCAGTTCATATCTCTGGTAACTATTATCTGTCATCTTTTTTATAATCAGTTTCTTGGAGGAAGAGATGTCACAAAGAGAAAGACACAAAGAAAAAGGACAATGTTAGAAAGAGAAAGGGGGTTAATATAATAGACAACACTGGTGGCCCTGCTCACTTCTGGCATTGGCCAAGAATTTCTCCAGACCAGTCTTTCTTCTCTTTGGCAACTACCATATACTTTCCAAGTACAAAAAGTCCACCCACTTCTTATAAGAGAGAAATGTTCTTTACACCTGCCAAATTCTACAAGAAGATTTTTGTCACACATCCATANAACAACCAGAATTTTAAGGACCAGTCATAAGAACTGTTTGTTACAGTACCATTGCAAATTCAAATGGTCAGTAAACAAGAGGTTGCTAACCAAGGAACACCTATGTTATTAATCAACTTTAACTATTTTGGAATTCAATTCATTTTTATACTTTAGCATTCAGGTCCATATGAATGATAAACTAAGAAAATTAGCAAAGATGTTTCAGAATGTTCATGTCAATCAACATCTGTTATGCTTGTAGAAATGTGCGTGAATACATCTCTGGTGTACAGACTATTGCTGCACTATTTTTAAATTATGCAAAGAAAATATAACAATGTAGCTATTGTCACTATACTAAAAACTGCACTTCATGTACAGCATCAACCCCAGTGCATTACTTCAATCAACATTTTCATCATTCTCACCTGGGTAAGCTTTGAAATAAGCTTCTACAAAACGCTGATGGTCTTCATAGATAGTCCGTGCTATACCAGGCCAGGGTTGTGCAATGCAGAGAGCACCAGCGGTATCATTGCCTTCTAAAACTTTTCCCTAGGAAATCAAGTAAAAAAAAAACCTTCCCTCAATCCCATCAATAAATGTTTTCCCCCAGAATTTGAATTTAATTTCATATTTATTCTTTCCATTAACAGTTTGATCAACACTTAATAAAGGCAATGAACTCAATATGCCTGCAAGCACAGGTAGTCTTTGTTGAGTGACTGCATTGTTTTAGCAATTATTTGCAGTCACAACAATTATAAAAAAGTAACATGATGGATCCTTGCATTTATGATCTTTGCAGATCTGTAAAGCAAAGGAAAGCTGAAATAAGTTAGAAGTAAGAAAGCATGGAGTTTCAATTAGAAACCACTTCGCATAACAACCAGGTTTCCAGGTTTCATTGTGGTCACTAAACAAGGATTCCTTGTATGAATAAAAAAGATTTTTGTGGTAGATAGAAGGGAAAGAATGGGCATTTAGAACTGACAAGTACAAAGCTTCCTTTCTAAGGGGCTTCTTTCCTTACCACTACGTCTTCAAAATTTATTTCATATCATGCCATGAGATAGCGATTTCCACGAGCATCCCAGCTGTTCTGATATAATTTTTGCTCATATTTTGATTAATTTTGCTAGCATTAAGAAGTAAAATGTTAGCTATATAAATCAATACAGAGCCAGTATAACAATTAAGTAGGAACTAATAATGCCATATTATCTGTTACCCCTAACAGTTACGTTACTCACAGATTAACATTTACATGTTTAAAGTTTAGGGAACATTCTGAGACAAATATACATTCTGATTGCACAGAAGTCAGTGATTTTTCTATCATGCTTTGATTTTAGAAACTGGTCTAATTTTGGTAGACAACAGGAAACGTATTTCATATTAGTTCTCTTGAAATGTGTATCTATTTATTTCTTGACGTTTTAATCCATATGGCAAAAATTCCAGCTTTCCTTTTCTGACCCTTTCTTGCCTTTATTCAGAATAACGCAGGTCCTTCAAGCTACTCTCTAAAAGTTACCTATTGATTCTTGTAAGACCCTCCTTACCAAAAGAAGGTATGATTGGGTGATTAACACTCTTATAATTTTTTCAAAGGGGTTCTGGGCTTTAGCTGCAGTCTAATAATTACATTTTTGAATNCTGCAATTATATATTGAGAAGTTATATGTTGTAATATGTCCTCTTGCCTGCGAAAGGAACTAACTAAAAGTAATTTAACTTTAACTTTATTATAGCACATATATGCACTAAAATATATAGGATATCACATTCTTCTCTGGAAAACATAAAACCTACAAACATCTTATACCTCAATTTTAAATACTGAAATAACAGTATTAAATGTCTCAAGTTGTATATTTTTCAAAAGAAAACATTTGCTAGCTTCAGACAATATTCATACAGTTCTGCAGGAGGAAGTTAATTATATTTAGTCATGTTTTAGATATAAATCTCCAAATGATTTTTTAAATAATCAACTTATGATTAATGCTGTTGCAAAGTAGTTCCAAATATCAACATATTAAACTTCCTGAACTTTTCACTTTCTACTTAGTTAACCACTCTTTCTATAGTATTTCCTTTTCAGAAGAGTTTATTAGATATGATTTCTCAACCCACCTCTAACTCCAGAACCTTTTTAGTCTGGTGATTAAGGCAATAGGCTAGAAAGCAAGAGACCTGCTTTAGCCATGAAAGCCAACTGGGTGACCTAGGGCCAGCCACTCTCCTTCAGCTCACTTTACCAGGTTGTAGTTGTGGGGAAGGTGGGATATAAATAAATGAACACATGAAGATATAATTTCTTAGTAAATGAGAGTTTTTAAGTACCTATTCACCCACAATTACTGTACATCTTAGAAGGAAAAACTATGGCTTTTGTAAGTGCTTTATAATTGCTGTGGTTTTATTGCTTCGATTATAGAATTTTTTCTTTGCACAGCATCAGAGCCTTTTACACTTTTCTAGAGCAGTGTTTCTCAACCTTGGCGACTTTAAATCCTGTGGACTTCAACTCCCAGAATCCCCCAGCCAGCACTAGGTCCACAGGACTTAAAGTCGCCAAGGTTGAGAAACACTGTTCTAGAGGAAAGTGAAGCAAACGGGAAAAATAACAAAACAAATTAAGAAACTCTGGTTATAGGTTAAAATTGCTTAATCTAAGAAAGACACTCTGCCACCTATCAGAAGGATATTCCTTTTCATCAGTTGTACGCGTGAATATATAAAATTGTTGCTATAAAAAAATGACATGTCACATATAACCCTACCTGCATTTTTTTTTAAAATTGTAGATGTTGTTTTAAAATAACTACAATAACAAACAGTGGGCATTTGCTGTATTTTGAAAAGTCAGAGAGAAAGAAGATTATTTTCATTCCCTGAACCATTCCACTCCTCATAAAAAAATACCCCGGACATTCCCTTCTCCCAGTTGTTAATTCTCACCGATTTCAATCGAGCCCAGTCATTTCAAAAGCCATTTCTAGGAGCTACCACCGTTATTTACAATGGATCTTCAGACACCACTTACTATTTTTAATGGCACATCTGCCCTTGACTTCAGCGTGGGTTCCCTCCCAAGCATTCTCAGCAGCAAAGGCCGTGGAATATTTATTATTCCTAAACACCAAGAGGCCTAAATCCCTGAGTATGTAGCGCTTATTTCCCCGCACCTCCACCCAGCGGCACCGAGCTCTCCACGCCGGTCCAGCTTGACCCTCCCACCGGTTCAGGAAGCCGACGTCCACCTCCCCATATTGTCGTCGGTGAGCAAGGCAGGGGGAAGAGACGAGGACGCCCTCCAAATCTTCGCCCTTTCCGAAAGCCGCGGGGCCTCCTATCCTCCCCGGGGAAGAGGGAACGCCGAGAAGTCAGGAGAAAAGCAAAGACCTCACCCGCACCTGCTATCCTTGCCTTCCTGCGCCGCGTTCTCCTCGGTAAGCACTTGCGGCCGAGGGGGTCGCCGCTGCCGCAGGCCGTCAGCCTCATTCATGTTGCGATGAGTGGCTCGCCGAGATACAGAGATCAACCGTGGTGGTCCAACCTCGCCGCCGAGACTCGCTGGAGAAAGCCGAGGACCAGCCTCACTTGCCGGCCCACACCACGAAGCCTCGCCTCTAGCTCCAGCCTGCTTCAACGGTTGCCACACAGAAGCCACACCCCCACCCCGACTTGCATCCGAAGGCCGCCATGACGCCCCACCCCCTCGGCTGAGCTTGCCCAATAACTGTGGCGCCTGGGTCCCGCCCCTGACTTCAGAAACACCCAACCACCGTTTCGTCCCCGAGTGGCAGCTCTGCGCTATCCGCCGAGACTGTTCAAGGGGGGCTGCGCAGGTCCGGGCCTACTTCAGTGGCGGCCCCAACGTCTCGCATATCCATCCCCCCTAACAACCCACTAACAGCCTCCATAGAGCCAAGCCCCATCGCTCTTTTGGCGGTGACTCACTGCTGCCTGTACTAAACCTCCCCGTTTTTCCCTCTTTGATTGCCTAACACTCTCTTGGCCCCTTCAGGCAGACGCCTCCATCCTTAACCGCTTCAGTTCAACGAATTAGCTAAGCCCACGCCCCACTTCATTGGCCACTTGGAGCGAGAGTTGCTCCGTCTAGGGGGCGGGGTCAGTAGAACATCCACTTACGTTTCCACGTGAAAGGAACGTGGGCAATGCTCGTTTCGAAAGTCTGGTTGCATTTGGAGAGAATCTTGGGGGATGCGGACCATGAGGGGGGAATGTTCTATCCAGGAAGAAGGGATATTAGCAAGGATTTGAAAGAGAAAGTATCTCTAGGAAAGACAATACACATTTTATACATTTTAGAAGACAATATGTATTTTATGTTTGTTTATTGAGTTTGAAGTGAAATGGAATGTAGAGTAAAAGGGTAATCTTGCTGTGATTTGTATGATTTTGAAAGAGACTAGTTAGGACATTGTATTGAAAAGACAATTAGAGACATATAAATTAGGAGACTCTAATAGGTGCAACATAATTGCATTTCCTTTTTTAAAATATTTTTATTAAATGTTTTAATCTTTAAAAACAATAGGAAAGACACAGCAAAGAAAAAAACACAATAAGACAAATCACAACACAGAACATACATACCAATGTACAATAATTTTACAGCTTTCTAT